TTATTATTATTATTATTATTATTATTATTAGGAGATATTGATAGTTGTCCTGCAAAGACACTTCAGTTTTATACTCAGATGATCAAGGATAACTAAATCAATTTGACTCCCTGAAATATTATTTTATTTATTTCTAACTTACCTGTTAGGGCATTTAGGGTCTGCTTACAATCTTTTTTTTATAGGCTTACAATATTTTTATATATATTGCTATATTTATTACATATTGTTTATTTGATGTTTCATTGCCTATAAAAAATTATTGAAAGCAGACCCTAAACGTTACATAATGTTTATCTGATGTTTCATTACCTGTAAAACAATATTGCCTCAGTACAAATCAGTTATATATCAGTACAAATCAGTACAAAGATTTGTCAGAAAAGGGTCCTTTTAAGGATTGTTAATAGGGAGAGTCAAGTGGAGTTATCTAGTTTATGTATTGTGAAATACATAAACATAAAATTCTGCCTCCTTCCCAGTTCTGTGAACTGAAGGCTTTCTTCCATCTTTGGAAAACACTGAAATCTGTTCCAGATTTTCCCCTTGAGATTCACAGCACTGCAGACAGAGAATTTCCTCCCCTCCTTCTGCTCACATGAACATTTTAGTGAGTGGAATTCTGTTTCAAGAGACACTCTCCCTGGTGACAGCAATTTCTGGATCCAGCCATTGTCCTGCCATAATTATGACACATTCACTCAAATGAGCCAAAAGTAAAAATTCTTTATTGAAAAATACAAGTTACCTCCCCAAGAAAGAAAGATCTGTCAGTCACTTAATACTTTGCATTACTATGGCTCTGAAGCTGAAATGACAGGGATGGCTATATAATATGCTGCTACAGTCCCTACAGAGGTATCATGTATACATGGTCTCCTCCTTCCCTCCATCTCTACAGTTATTATGGATAAAACAATTAGTATGTCAATATATGTCAGAGAAGACATTAGCTATCATACGATAATAATACTTAGCATTTATATAGTGCTATATAGTATCCAAAGACTTCCTCAATGACTTCTTAGTCACTATGTTACCCCAACTTCCATACACTATTACCTCATTATAAACATTTCATATTGGCCATTAGTACATCCTAAAAACTCATCACCAAAGCTGGAATCTTGCTGGGCCACTATGATCACATAAATACCATAACATAAGTGGCCTTTTCAGAGGTTGTGTAAATAAAATTCCCAGTGCAGTCAAATGTTCCATAAGCACACACTCCCCTCTCTCACACTTTTGACACTGTAGTGGCAGCTAATCCACCACTGCACAACAGATGTGCTTAAGGCCATGTTGCCTGTCACACAATGAGCTGCAGATGTGTGAGATTCACTGTAACTTTGCTGATGTATTTTTATGCTATGCTAAAATGTATAGGACTTTGGATCAAACACAAGAATCAACTGATGACAGCAGAGATTCTTAGGGTGTTCATGTAAGTGATCTGGAGAGTCCATGAAGGCGGCACATTTTTTTCCCCTTTTGACTCTTTACTGTTCTATTTTTTTTCCATTTTAATGAATTTAAAGCTAAAACTTTCAAATGTTCGTGGTAACTTTTTTTTATTACAGACTGACACAGAAAACAGATTTTCAATGAAGGATAATAATAATAATATAATAATAATTTTTTTTTATTTATATCCTGCCTTTCTGAGCACAATCGAGGCGGCTAACAACAATTAAAATTTGTACAATATAAATACAAAGAAATCCGAGACCCACCCACCCCTTAAAAAAGTATTAAACCAGCAACAATTAAAACATCTTAATTTAATAAACATAGAATAAAACTATATATATATATATATATATATATATATATATATATATATATATATATATACACATATATATACACACACACACACACATATATATATATATAGACGGTATCCAAAATGGGAGAAGGCGAACTACGGGAGGTTCCTGAAGCCGGAAAATCTATTCTGGAAAGGATAAATTCATAAATTGTATGGGAAATTATATATGTATGCAAATGCACAAATGTGTGTATTTTTCTAGAGAGCAGGTCCTCATCTGTCATAAAATAACCAAAGGGTTTGGATTACCCTACCCTACCCCTTAAATAGGACAGAAAATACACAAAGTACAAAAACTTGCATTCCTAAATGTAGCCTGCCTTGGCCTGGTAACCTGCCATTCTTTCTGAATATTGGCCACACTGCCTAGGACCGATGGGAGTTCAACAAACCCAAAGGATATCAGGTAGTCAAAAACTGTAAGACATTCTTGAAATGTAATAAAACACTACATGTTTTGCTAATAATAATTCATTTACACACACAGGCACAAACACATGGGAAGACTTTTAAAAATATTTTTTCCTCATTGTACTTTATATCAATGCCTATTACAACAGATTTACATTCACAATTTCATCCAAATACTGTAGTGGTTCATTAAATATAATTACTAGCATAACACTGATTAATTTTTATACTAACAATTGCTGAGCGTTCTACCTCCTCAAAGTCACACAGCTTGTCACACTAGCAGAATTAACCTTAATTATTTCACAGTAAAAGATCTGGCATCACAGCATATATGCAAATACAAACAGTAAGGGAACTGCCCTTTTGATTCAAATGTTACCCTTCAAGCTAGCTAAGGCCCAAGTGAGGGACATATGAAAAATTACCTGAATCAGATGTTAATGAAGTGGAAATAATCCTGGAACATCTGATGTAAGTCTGCCACCTAGTACCTCTCTAGCCTTTTGCGCATTAACTATTTTCTACATTTGAACAAGGGAAAATTATTAACATTAACAAAATCCTTGCTTGTAACACAAACATCCTGGTAAGACAATTAACACATTTAGACTGGAATCCTGTTGGTTAGTCGTAAACCCAATGAATCAACTGATGAATGGAAGTCAATCAATCTGACTGTGGGTTTATTCGAGACAAAAGTAACAATAGGATTTTAGCCTTAGTGTATTAGAATCTGTTATAAATATTCAAATCAGTACTAGAACTGTTCAGAGTCTTCATGTACACGATGAAGCAACTACGGTCCTCAAAAGTCATGCTATAATCAATTTGTTAGTCCTTAAGATGCTATAGGACTCTGCTTCCTGCCCTCCATAGGGTAATTATTAGTTATTTGTCATTTGTACAGTTTGGTCATCCCTAATCTGGAAATCTCAAGTCTGAAAACTTCCAAAAACTGAAACTTCTTGCTGCCAGCTGGCCATTTCTGCCTTTGAGGCAGTGACAGTGGCACTCCTGCTTGTCTAACAGATCCTCAGTCTCTCTTCAGCTTCACATCTCATACAAGCAGTGAACAAATGAAACATGTGACTGGAGAAAGACGTGACTGGAGAGAAACGCAAGGATCTATGAAATAGTGGGAGGTGTACATTCGCATCGAGTACTGTGCTTGGATTCCTGCAATTTCACAGATCCTCAGTCTCTCTCCAGCCTTGAAACACAGGTACAGGTTGAGTCTCCCTTATCCAAAATGCTTGGGACCAAAAGTAATTGACTGACTGACTGACTGACTGATTTGATTTTGGAATATTTGCATATACATAATGAGATATCTTGGAAATGGAATCAAACTCTAAAAATTAATTCATTTATGTTTCGTATGCATTTTATACACATAGCCTGCATATATGCTGTGATGCCAAAGTGGTGTCAAACTGCTTTAATTCAGCAGTGTGGATATATCTCAAATTGCTGAAATATCCCCCATTAGTAAGAAGAAGAAAAAGAGAGCAAGAGTGGCGTGGTGGTCTGATTGTCGGACTACAACTCTGGAGACCAGAGTTCAATTCCCAGTTCTTCCATGAAATCCACTGGGTGACCTTGGGCAAGTCACACTCTCTCAGCCTCAGGGGATGGCAAGGGTAAATCTTCTCTGATCCAAGAAAATCCCATTGTAGGGTTGCCTTATAGTAGCAGTATTCACTATACTGACTCAATAAAACAGTTTTTTTTTTGTTTTACAATCAAGCTCCTTAACTCCAATTTTTTTTCTCCTAAGGAATCTTTTAATTTGTTGCAAAAAGGGGGGGCTAGTTTTAATTACAGCTGCAAAGTACAAATCAAAAGGCAATTGCTCATGAGATACATATATGAGATACAACAATGATTACTTCATATAGGCTAATAATAAATGTTGTTAAAAGAGCAATAAGGGTCATCATTCTTTATTTTTTTAATAATTTTTTAAAATTTCATTCTGCTGTCAGGTAACTAAAGCCTTCCTAGCAATGACAAATTAAGCCAGCTTTCTGCATTGCACTTCAAATGAACTGAATCTTCACCAAAATGTCCAATTTATTTTCCCATATTTTATTTTATTGAAAATGTATTGGAAAAAATTTAACTATATTTGAAAACAATTTTTTAAAGTAATAGTATAAGAAGTATCTGTATTTTAATTCAATACAATTTGGAAGTCAACTTAGCACATCATGTTCAGTACTTCTTTTGTATCAAAGAGCCAGAAGCGCAAGAATTCTAAAATGTTCTAAAATATTGCTCTGTTCAGTTATTTTACTGTTTTTAGTAATATGCCAACCATACAATCCCTTCTTTAACTACAAGAGATGGAAGAAAAATATAAAATAAAATATGCAAATATGAACAGAATACAATTCAAATCTGATAAAATCTAATACAAATGAGGGTCATTAATAAAATAAAATGTAATTAAATTTCACACAATATTCTCTGTATTTATTCGTTTATTGTCTATTCAGATTTTCTTCCAACACATAATCTAAGGCACCAAACAACACAATACAATTAAAAGACCTCTTAATACAAAAGTTAAAACACAATTAAACTAATTTTTATTTTAAAAATGTAAGTTAAAACAGCATTAAGAACAAAAAACAGCATTAAAGATGCTTAAAACTTAACAACAACAACAACAACAACAACAATAATAATAATAATAATAACCCCCCCCCCATGAAAACCCTTATCAACTGCAACACACTAAAAATGAAAGGATTCCTTAAATAAAAATGCCTTTACCTATTGGCAGAAAGACAACAAGAAGGAGGCTGACCATTATTTGTTGTAACCCGCTTCAATCCACAGGGAGAAGCGAGCTACAAATAAAATGTATTATTATTATTATTATTATTATTATTATTATTATTATTATTATTATTAACCATACCTCCTGGAGAAGGGAGTTCTATAACCTGGAAGGAGCAACCAAGGCTGCATTTGCACTGCAGAAATAGTCAGTGACATCACTTTAACTCAGGGGTAGGCAACCTAAGGTCTGGGGGCCAGATGCGTCCCCCCC